CCCTTAAGTGCCTGAAACAGAGTAGCTGGTCTATCATAAATGAGGTTTTTAAAATTCAATTCCCTCCTATTGCTCGTGCAGATCTGAAATGATCTGACCAGATGGCTGGTGCTCTATAATTCTTGGATTGCTCTCATCAGTTGTTGATGATTTAGACTTTTTTTTTTTTTTAACCCCCTCACATGAACGTGTTCCTGCACAGGCTTCCTGCATGCTCCCATCAAGTGGCTCTTTGTGCTAATGCCAATATTCCAGAGGCTCTCACACAGTATTTCAGAGCCTGGAAGTCACCTCAGGTCAATAAGAAGCCCCAAGTCTAAGCTTCCCTGAACCCATATGAGGCCAACATATAGCACTGGGTAAGGGGCAAAACAAGAGAGGCCTTTGCTCAGATAGCCTCATCACCTCCACTTTTCCTTCAGGTCCCCAAGGAAAGGGAGGCAGCAGCAAAGGTATATTTTTTAAATGACAACTATAGCCATTTATTGAATATTTCCTATGTGTCAGGCCCAGAGTGAAACATTTTACACGTGTTAATCTTGTTTCAGTCTCACACCATCTCTGTGAAGTAGGTATTTTCATCCCTATTTCCATATGAGGAAACTAAGGTTCAGAGATTCTAATCAAACTGACCAAGGCCACACAGTTCAAAAAGAGAACTGAAGGTGGGTTTGGAAGTTTAGCATCATAAAATTTGACTCAAAGCTCTACCAAGATCTCAGGGATAGAGAGAAGGCCCTGGCCTGGCCTCCCCATACCCGCCTTTGTGCCCTCACTGAGCACAGGACACTTCCAAAACAAACCAGGACATCCAAAACACTTTTTCTCTCTGTATCCTCTGTGAGACCATAAGCTGCTGGAAGGCAGGGGTCATGTCGCATTTGCTACCCAGAAAGACATTATGGTACAGTGGTTAAGAGCTCAAGCTTAGGGCCAAACAAAGCTAGATCTGAATTCTGTCTCTACCACCTACTGGTCATTTGGCTGAGTCACTTATCTCTGAGACTCATTTTTGTCTATGAAAATGAGGGTAGTTATAGCACCTGCCCTCAAAAGATGCCTGGCACAGTCGATGCTAAGTAAATGTGAACTATTATCTGTCTCTGGCTACCAGTACAGTGCCTGGCACAAAGCAGGATCTCAGGAAATGCCCAGGGAGCAAAAGACCCACAATATCTGGCTGTGACCAGTTTTCTCTAATAACAAGTGCACAGGCACAAAGCCTGGGGTACAGGGGTCCTCAGCCCTAGGACAAATTCCTGAGTTCCCTGCCCAGAACCCACAGGACCTGCCAGCAAACAGCTTTCCTCTGCTTGCTTGTGAACAGCTGATGCTGAATCCACACTCAAATGCTTGCTGTGCCTCCGTAAGGTATGACAGATCCCAAAATAAACCAGGAGAGAGAGAGAAAGAGACAGGAAAATCACTTCCAGGAACAAGCGACTCGCAGTGAGGATGCTGACAGTAATAACAGAGGCAGGGAGACTTCAGGAGGGTGACCTACAGCTGCTCCAGGGCTAAGTGACTGGGGCCCAACTCCTATCTGGCCTGGTAGGAAGGTCCATGAAGTTACGGGTTGGTCCCCTGGTATTCCAGGCCACAGCAGGCAGTCAGGAAATCTGCCTTCAAATGAGCCCAGACCATGTAGCCCAGTATCCCCTCCTTGGAGACCTGAGGACAACAGAGATAAGGTCCTCCCTTCAGAGACCTAAAGAGACAGAAGGTACTGAACTGAAATCAATAACTGTCAACATAAACTAGCCATTTTGCCATTCTCTTAAAAGTCCCCAAAAGGGCTTCCCTGGTGGCGCAGTGGTTAAGAGTCCGCCTGCCGATGCAGGGGACACGGGTTCGTGCCCCGGTCCGGGAAGATCCCACATGCCACGGAGCGGCTGGGCCCGTGAGCCATGGCCGCTGAGCCTGCACGTCCAGAGCCTGTGCTTTGCAACGGGAGAGGCCACAACCGTGAGAGGCCCGCATACAGCAAAAAAAAAAAAAAAAGTCCCCAAAAGATATTCCACCATCTTCCTATGCCATGCACCTAGCTCTCAGGCAGGAAATGTTGTATTAACCCCTTCTGCTCCCTTATCAAAAATCTCCCTGGAAGGAAAGAGGGAGAACATCCCATGACCATGGAAGTCTCTCCTTGTCACCATAAGTTCCCTTCCCTATCTAAAGCCAGAGAGGACAGGAAGGCTACATACTCATGTACCCTCACTGGCATCCAATTCCACAATCAAGTTTAAGGAGTGGCACAAATGGCAAATTTACCATTAAAAATCAGAACTGCTGTGTACTGAGTAACGTCTACATGTTGGGAATCCTCAAAACAGCCTCTGCAGCAGGCAGGGCAGGACATTTCCCCAACATCACCAATGGGGAAACTGAAGGGCAGAAGGATTCAGTGACTTGCCCAAGATCCCCTAAGTAGCAAAGCTAGGATTTGAACCCAGGACTGGATCAGTCTAAAGTCTGTGCTTGGGACTTCCCTGGTGGTCCAGTGCTAAAATCTGCCTTACAATGCAGGGAATGCGGGTTCAATCCCTGGTCAGGGAACTAAGATCCCACACGCCACGGGACAACTAAGCCTGCACGCCACAACTACTGAGCTCACGCACCTCAACTAGAGCCCACATGCTGCAAACTACGGAGCCCATGCGCTCTGGAACCCACGCACCACAACTAGAGGAGAGAAAACCCGCATGCCACAACTAGAGTAAAGCCCACGCACCACAACCCCGCCTGCCGCAACAAAAGATCCCACATGCCTCAACAAAGATCCTGCATGCTGCAACTAAGACCCGACACAGCCAAAAATAAATAAATAAATGAATAATAAATAAATCTTTAAAAAATAAAATAAAGTCTGTGCTCTTTACCACTAAATTATACTACCTCCTCATTTATCTACTCACCCTGGGACTGGCTACATTCCTTTTAACCTTTCAGTAGCTGTGATGGAAGCTCCCAGGCAGCATTCGTTATGTGGTGAATTAAATATACTCTGATTAAAGGTAAGTGCCAGCTATCCACACAGACTACTGAGATGTCAATTTCCTACCAACAGACATAACATATAAAACCTTAATATACACACAGAACACCTTGATCCTGTCCTGGGACCTAAGAGAGTCTTGTCTGCCTCGACAGTACCAGACTCAGTCACCACACATCAAACCCTGAGGCCATAACAAATCTCTCACTTTCCCTCCCCTCACTGGTCCTGCTTTGGGGGTGAGTGTAGGTGAAATGAAAAACACTCTTGGGATATGGGGCAAGCATGTCTGGACCTAGACTTGCTTTGCCCCCAGAGCTGAGTGTCTGTGCTCAAGCACAACACCCCAGCCTTTGGGGCAGCTTCAAGGGACTTTGGGGCAGAACAACTTATAAGGGGCTATTGAGAAACTAGAAGGCAGAAGATGATGTCAATGGGGCAACAAGTTAAATATAAAAATCAGTACTCCACTCTAATTCTCCAGGAGGTGCTCAGAGCCCTCAGCCTGCCCTTGTTACACAGGATCTGGCCCTCCCTCCCCAAAGATACAAAAAGGGCTCTTTTGCTTAACCATGAACAGGAGCCCCACTGCCCAGAGGCTGGGCAAGGGCCCTGGGTCAGAACTTTCAGGCTTGTTCTGCAATGTGGACTGGGGTCCTGAAGGGTGCCACAGGAAAAGAGACGGTAGGAGTAGGGATGACAGGACATTGACCTCCATCGGCTCAAGGCACTTGCCTGGTTAAAAGTGGTACAAGCACTTTTAATCACGTAAAATCAGTGTATACAGCATACATCCTCCACTTCCCACACCCTGAGAGCCCCTCTAGTTTTAGTCCCCAAAGACCAGGGGGGCTCAGTTCTCAGGGAAGGTGGAGGAGGCCAGCCAGAGGTTGGATCTGCTAAACCCAGTAACTCTGTCCCTAAAATCTCCCTCTACCCAACTCCATTAGCACCTACTTGGTTTCCTTGGTGATTCATTACTCTTCTGTGGCAGCAACTACCCGCATGCAAGCCCAGCAGGAGTGATATTGCTACCAGATAGTTGGCTGGCACAGCAAACGCTGCCCCTGCCAGCACAGCAGCAATGGGGGCAGTGAGGACATGGTGATGAATATCAGCAAGGAGTTGATGAAACTATACTCTAGCAGCTGCCAGGGCTTGCCATCCACCCGCCACAGTGCAGAACGTAAATAGCCTACTCCTGAAAATGGGCTCAAGTGTCACCAGAGTCGGGCTCCAGCCAAGGACAGATGGGACTCTAGAAGAACAAGTGAGAGGAAGATGGGTCCAGGCTGGGGTCAATGACATAGGACAAGTTGGCTGAATGACATAGGTCAAGTCACCTAACCTCTCTGAGTCTCAATGTTTTCATCTGAATATAAAGACAATAATAGCTCCTATTATTGTGAAGACTGAACAAGATTATGCACATGAAGCACGTAGCACAGTATCTGAATGTGGTAAACACCACAACTGCTGGCTTTTTTCATTATTATTTTAAGCCCTGGGCCCAGGGCCATAAAAGGGTTAGAAAGTTGCTCCTTCTGAGGATGCTCCATTTAAAAAGCAGGCCAGGAACAGCCCCTGTTTCTTGGCACAGGTTCCTTTAACAACAGAAAACTCCTGCCCCGCACCAGTGCTCCGGACTCTCCCATGAACAATATTTCAGCAGCACTGAGCCGAGCAGCAGAGCCCAAAATAGCATTTGCAGAGTGAGGCACATGTCACTGCCTCTCCTGTGCTTCAGAAGTGCAAGGAAAGAAAGTTTTCTATCACTTGCTCCAAAAGCTCGGCCACCCACCACCTGCCTTCCTTCCAGGGCACTCAGATGCCACAATTTCTGTTCTGCAGGGAAACGAAGGTCCCTGAGTCCTGCAGCAGCAGCCACCCCTACTCCCCTCCAGGAGGCCAGAGAGGGGCTGTTCCTTCCAGCCCTGCGGGGAGAAAGGACATACACATTTTGAATTTCAAGTGTGTTTCCTGGGGACAGCGCTGGGCTTGGTACCTGGCCGAAGTGCCTGCCACTCATGTGTCGGGTGAAACACCTCCAGGACCTTGGGATCCAGCTCCTCCTCTGCTGTTTCCTTTCTCTCTGTTTCTTTGGTGCTGCTCTCCTCTGGGTTGGTCAGTGCAAACTCCTTCAGAGAAAGGAAAAAACAGGGCATGAACCACCACAGTTGCGTACCACGCAAGCAGAAAGAAAATGGCCTGGGCAGTACACTCTTCTCCTCCTTGCCCTTCCTGCCCTTCTTAGCCCTGTTTGGACCTTTCACAAGGTTAGTGTCAGAACCAGTACAAGTGAGGTGATATGGTTAAATTAACACAGTATGTGTTGTGTGTATATGGCACTTTTGTATATGCATTTAAAAAAAACTCCAGACGGTTCCACACCATCTTGAGGGAGTTAAGGGAACATACTGGGGAGAGGGGTTGACAAAACGAGACAATAAGAGCCTTTTACTTTTTACTTGATAAGCTCCTATCCTGTTTGATGTTTAAAATTCATACCTATTACTCTTACAATTAAAAACTAAAGATATTTATAAAAGAAAACACATACATATGAATAGGAAAGTAAGGCCTCAAATGGTCAACACAGATGTACAAAAGCCGGCAGCTAAGGCCCAATTAATTCCTAAGCAGCCCAGCAGGGCAGAGTAAGGGCGTGGGTACCTTCATTACCCAGGGTACCTATGGAGCGTAAACGACCTCTTAGTGCATTCCAATCCATGGAAGAAGGGGTACAAGTGGGAAGGTGCAAGTCCAGCTGGGCTGAAGGAGGAAGATGCCCGGGTTGGAAACCTCTTCCTAAAACCTATTTCCTTCCACCCCACGGAGAGCATGGAGGATTAATGAGATGGTGTAGAGCACTTTGAGCTCAAGAGACAGAGATGTAACATAAATACAAAGTATTATTCATCTTGTTCCTTCCCAGCCTCCAATCCTTCCTGTCCCATTTTTAAACCTGTTCGTGCATAAAAGCAGTAAGGCCTCAGGAAACTGGAACCAGAGGGTTCCAGAGCTCTGGGAAATTACATTTGGGAGGGCAAAGAGGAACACACACTAGAACACTGGGAGATTATTTCAGCCCTTCCACCTCCCCAGCCATCACTTTTCCTCCACCTCCCAATTTTTCCCGTAATAAGAGTATTTTTCATGGATTCTTCCTATGAACCCAAACCTGTGCTAGGTACTTCATGTAGATCTCATTTTGGTCTCCTGAACAATTCTAATCCTACATGGGAGGTAACAATGTATCCCTTTCAATGTGCCCCAGCACAAATCTGAGCTCAAAAGAAAACAAGGGGGCTTCCCTGGTGGCGCAGTGGTTGAGAGTCCGCCTGCCAATGCGGGGGACGCGGGTTCGTGCCCCGGTCCGGGAGGATCCCACATGCCGCAGAGCGGCTGGGCCCATGGGTCATGGCCACTGGGCCTGCGCATCCGGAGCCTGTGCTCTGCGGCGGGAGAGGCCACAGCGGTGAGAGGCCCACGTACGGCAAAAAAAAAAAAAAAAAAAAAAAAAGAAAACAAGGAACAGAGAGTAGATGTGTGTGAGACTAAAGAGAAGACAGACTGGCAGGAAGCTCCGTGCATTCTAAGGGCACGGACATCAAACTTTCAACAACTGAGTTTCCTGAGGGCAGGCACTGTGTCAGTCTCTTTCACCACTGTATACCCCTTGCCTAGCCCAGGGCTTAGTTTGTAATCACGCAACAAAGGAACAAAAGAAGGCCTTCCTCCTACAAGCAGGTATGTCTTTTGGATGTCTTTTGGAGGCAAGTCCAAAGAGTTTGCTGGAAGCCTGGAACTAGCCCCACACTCCAGAACAAAGACCACAAGACCACTCTGTCCACTAAGTATCTGCAGCCTATGGACTCCAGGGCCCAGCCATGCTGGTCAGTCTCTGCCAAAAGCACCGTACACGAGACCATGGGACTAGAAGACCGTTAATAAGATTTACCTCAGAAGTATGTGGACTAAATGCCTCCAGAGGCCAAGCAGGGATGGATGTAAATGAGTGCTGTGTGCCAGGTGTAAAAACAACCAGGAGTGGTGGGACTGTGAAAACTGGAGTCCTCCTGCCTTGACTAAGAAACACAGCTGCTACTCAGCTGCTCTACCACTGCCACGAAGGCATTCAACTTGATGAGAAACAAAAATCCAGATTTTTATGTGACATTTTCTTACTTTTAGAACACTAAGAGGGCCGAACTAAACATCTCTAAGCTTTACATTACAACTCTTGCTTTAGTGTACCTATTAGCCAGTTAACTCCTGGCACGTACAGTTGTAATCAAGTAACCAAATCCTCAACATCAAGAGAAGCAGAAAGAGGCAAGGGTAATGGTGATGATGAGAATATGGCAGAAAGCCCAATCCAGGCAAGGCTAGTGTTCATTCTGATGAGTAGGGGCTGAGAAAGCCTCTTTTTCTAGATCTTTAATGAGATAAATAAAGTAGGTTCAAGAAGGAGGATTACAACAAGATATGAACCACTGAGACATGCTTCAAGCCCTAGGAAAGCCAAACGCTTTCTGCAACAATCCCATCACTACTCAAAATGTTTTTTAAGCTTCCGCTTGGTATCATCTTTGAACCATATTTTAAGCTACACACACACACACACATACACACACACACACACACACTCACACACTCACACTCACAATCTGCCATTATTTTACAGATCACCTGTTTTTAGTAGAGGTGATATAAATTTGGTGTTCCCCTGTCTGGTCAGCTCACCCTGTTCACCAAATCTGGCTCTGAATGACTTTGGCAAGCACTGAGGGAGGTTCAGTCACACAAACATACTACAAGCTGGACAATCACTTCAAAGGTGGAAGTGCAGAAAAGGTTTTCAGGAAAAGCAGCATCAAGGAGATGAGGTTGTAATGGTAACATAGCTACCATTTATTAAGCCCTTACCCATATTCCCAGAACTGGTCTGAAGTGGCTTCCATGCCTCACAACTCATCCAAGTTTCATCTATGAAGCACATACTTTTATTCCCATTTTATACATACAGGGCCTGTGCAAAACCACACTGCTGAGAAAAGAAGAGCAGAGATTGAAGTCCAGGACTGCCTGGCTCCAAAGTGCATGCATGAATTCTGACTCACTTCTATGTTTCTGTTCTTAGTCATGTGTTCTAACGGTTGTGCCCTGGGATGCTGAGGGAAGGAAGCAGGGTCAATAAGATCACCCCAGCACATTTATCAGCACATCCTCCTTCCCTTTAAGGACTGTGTTTAAAGAAATACCATCCCAGAGAAAGGGACGACCCTCTCTCTGCTCCAGCAGTGTCCTGAACAGGAGACAAAGACCAAGAGGTGAGGGAGGCCAGCCAGCCCTTGGTCAGCTCTGAAGTAAATCTCATGCTCTGGTGACCTCTCAGTTGGTTTCTCCGAGCTCCCTTCCATGCTGAATCCTCTCTTCTCTCTGCCATCATTACTCTAAATACCAATTTCCTCTTAAGTGGCAAGAAATCCCAGCTAAGGTTTTAGCTGACAAAAGCTTACCATGTCACACTTCCTTATAATTGTAACTGAGTAAGAGATTCTTAAAGACCAAAGCCTTCAAAATCCAAGAGAATGAATGAATCTCTCAAGGTAGGTGGATAGATGCTGTGACAGAGACAGACTGAGAAGGCAACATTTTGGGATAGGAGCCTGGCTGACAGAGTCCTAAATTAAACAACGGAAGCAGCCAACCCTTACTAAAAAATAACAGCTGACATTTACTGACCATCCATTAGCCATATTGTGCCAGTGCCAATGCTAGGTGCTTTATATATACAATCACATTTAATCTACACTAAAATTTAAGAGGGAGGTACCAACCCTGTTTTACACATGAGGAAACAAAGCTCAGAAATGGTCAAAGTAAAAAAAAAAAAAAAAAGAAATGGTCAAATTGCCAAAGTAGGAGGCAAAAGGGAGTTTACCAAGGCTCTGTGCTCCTTCCACTGGATTCCACTACCTCCCTCATCATCCACCACCTCTTGAAGGCCAGTATACCACACAACCACATCCCTTTAGCATTCGCACTGATCCTAAGATGTGGCATCCCAGGGAGATGCCATAGCAGGAGCCAGGAAGGCAGGCTGGCTCCAGATCATACCCTGATACACACAGCTAGCCTTTGCTGGGTGGCCATTAACCTGTACAAATGCCTTTGAGGAGGACAATTCCAGGTCACTAGGAGCATTTGCCTGGACTCCAGTCTCTGAACAAAGGATCATGACCACTCCCACCTCCCCCACCACCCATTTTCACTGTTGTGAAGGTGGCTGGCTGCATAATTTGGATTTTAAATGCCATCAGGGCAGCAATTTCTATGGTATGAGAGAAAAGATGCTTCAACTCCTACTTGTACTTAGCACATGATGAAAGATTATGACAAATGGATACAGCTTAGGAACAGACATAAGGATAAAAGCAGCTTTTGCTGATGAAAGTCAGTATTAACATTTTTCTGAGATTAGACTCAAAAGAGCTAATATAAATGGGCCAGAATAATTATGGCTCTGAAAGCTCATCTATTTGGTTGGACTATTATCCAAAAGAGACTTACTAACACACAGTCCTTAAGTAAATTCATCAGCACGCTTTTGTTAATTGTGCATCTGCTAAAGCTCATAATGGGGAGCACCCAGATCCTCATGAGCTGCAGGCTGGAGGGGACACAGCCCTGAGCCCTCGAGACACTTGGGTGCTTTTCTGGGCCAGGCTATGCCAGAAACAGCCCCAACTTCATGCCATGGCCAGTCCCACCCTCAGGGGCCAATGGGATCCCAGTCTCATTCTCCTTGAAGAGGAGGCCAAAAAACGGCAGCAACAAGATCTTAGTCAAAGAACATTAAAAGCTCAAAAGGATTCGTGACTCCTAACTGTACATTCTCTCCTGCTCTACAAAGTGGGGAGAAAGGCGGAGAGAAAACAAATGACTTCAGAGAGAAGGTGGAAGCTTGCCATGAGCCAGAGGTGAACCTCAGCTGAGCTGGATTAAATTCATCACAATTGTCATTTGCACTTCAAGGCCCTCCGGCTCCAAAGCCTCCAGCACTTTACCCAACATTTAAGTGGGACCCCTGGGGTTGGAGAAGGTGGCCAGGGGAGGGTGAAACTGTGAGAGAGCTGACAGGGCATCTCAAGGGAGAGGAAAGAGAGGGCATTGGGAGTAGATCAAGGGCAGGCTGTTGGTGGGGCAGGCCAGGGAAATGGGGCCAGGACACCCTGCAGCCAGGCCAAGCTCAGGGCCTTCTCAGGCATTCTGCCCCTGCCTTTGGCAAGGACAGAAACCCTCAGCAATGAGGTCTGGGTTAATGAAAAGGAGGGTGTAAAGAACGTGGAGAAAAGGACAGAGGGAAAGAGGATACAGAGCTACGGACAGACTGAGAATGCACATGGATGAGCGGAGTAGACAAAGAAGCAGTCTTACTTGGTGCTCACCACACAGGCGCCCAGCCCCTTGGGGAGAATCCTGACCTTCCCAGCTCTGCCACAAACTAGCTTTATAATGTTGGCCAAGTTACTTAATATCTCTGAGACTTAATCTCCTCCTTGTCAAATGAGGATAATAATTGTAGTTGTCTACTTCATAGGGTTGTTGAGGAGATTAAATAAGAATACATATAAAGCACATAATACAATGCTTGGTACATAGCAAGCTTATCATATTATCATCATTGTTATTATATCATTATCATCATCATCATCTTTTCGCCAAAGAGAAACTGTGTCGTAAGCTTTAAACAGAGGCCAGAGGACTAAGGGATGGGGGAAGAAGTACACATACTCCGTGACCCAGCACTGGTCACATTCCTATAAGAAACTCCCACAGCAGCCCTGGTGGCACAGAGGCTTTCTTGGACACAAAAAAGATCCCTCTATTTGCAGTAAGGCACTTACCGAGTTCTTATGACTGAGGCAGAAGGTGAAGCAGGAGGTCATCAGCATGCCCAGCAGCATGCCCAGAGGAGCCATCCTAAATAGGAGCAGGCCCTGGTGAGGCATAGTTAGGGGCCTGAGGAATGTAAACACAGAAAATAGAAGGTCAACAGGAAGCTGGTGCTTGACACCTCTCCCCCTGCCCCAGCATAGTGATTCCCATGATGTCACCTTTTTTGACAGATGTCAAACATTTCAGATGATGTCAGACATTTCCTGAATAGAGGTATCACAGGTCTTCTACCCCAAAGGTAGATCAACCTGGAGTAAGCCTCCATTCCCCCATATGGGGAGATATGCCTTGGTTAAAACTGTACAGTAAACCAGGACCTTTGCATGAGTTATAATAGCCCTGGTCCCTTCCTTCTTCATTATCCGGGTTGTTATCAGGTTGCACAGGGTGGTATTGGCTATGGTGAAGAGAGAAGGAAACTAACCAAATGATTTGTGTGTGAACAGACATGGGCCCAAATTCATATGAGCCTTTATAACCATTCACTTCTAAACCATATCCACTGTTATACCTGAAGACAGATACCATCAGCACCCTCTAAAACAGCAAAGTCCAATATTCCCAAGCCATAAAGCCTTTTACATCACTTTTCAGACTGTCAAACACACCAAAGTGCAGGCCCTAGTAGCTGTTAAAATTTAAATAACACAAGGATAAAAGGATATTCCATGTTCACAGATTGGAGGCTTAATAATGTTAAGACAACAATACTACCTAGAGCAATATGCAGATTCAATACAATCCCTAACAAAATCTCAGTGGTGGGGAATTGGGGAATTCCCTGGCAGTCCAGTGGTTAGGACTTGGCACTTTCATTAAAGTGGCCCAGGTTCAATCCCTGGTCAGGGAATTAAGATCCCACAAGCCAGAGCATGGCCAAAAAAAAGGTGATTTTTTACAGAAATGGAGAAACCCATCCTAAAATACATATGGAATTTCAAGGGACCCAGAACATAAAAACACTGAAAAAGAAGAACAAAGTTGGAGGACTCACACTTCCTGATTTCAAAACTTACTACAAAGCTACAGTAATCAAAACACTGTGGTATTGGCATAAGGACAGACATACAGACCAATGGAATAGAATTGAGAGTCCAGAAAAAATTACATATGTGATCAATTGATTTTCAGCAATGGTACCAAGACAATTCAATGGGGAAAGGACAGTCTCTCCAACAAACTGTTCTGGATCAACTGGATTTCCACATGCAAAAGAATGAAGTGGACCCTTCCCTTACGTAATATATTAAAATTAACTCGGGGCTTCCCTGGTGGCACAGTGGTTGAGAGTCCGCCTGCTGACCGGGGTTTGTGCCCCGGTCCAGGAGGATCCCACACGCCGCAGAGCGGCTGGGCCCGTGAGCCATGGCTGCTGAGCCTGTGCGTCCGGAGCCTGTGCTCCGCAATGGAAGAGGCCACAACAGTGAGAAGCCCACATACTACAAAAAAAAAAAAAATTAACTCAAAATGGATCAAAGATGTAAATTAAAGAGTTAAAATTCTTAGAAGAAACATAGGGAAAATCTTCAAACCTTAGATTTGGCAATATTTTCTTAAATATTATACCCAAAGCACGGACGATAAAAGAAAAAATAAATAAATGGAACTCCTTCAAAATTAAAAAACTTTTGTGCCTCAAAGGACATTATTAAGAGAGTGAAAAGACAACTCAAAAAATTAGAAGAATATTTCTAGATCATCTATATTAAGGGTTTAGTTTCCAGAATATATAAACAACACCTACAACTCAACAAAAAAAAAACAAGCAAGCTAAATTAAAACAGGCCAAAGACTTGAATAGACATTTCTCCAAAGAAGATATACATATGCCAACAGGGACATTAAAGGATTCTCAACATCATTAATCACTAAGGAAATGCAAACCAAAGCCACAATGAGATACTGTACCATTTTACATCCACTACTATGGCTATAATTTAAAAAAAAAAAACAAAAAAAACAGAAAGTAACAAATGTTAACAAGGATGTAGAGAAACTAAAACCCTAGTACATTGCTGGTGGGACTGTAAAATGGTGCGGCTGCTGTGGGACAGTTTGGCAGTTCCTCAAAAAGTTAAACATAGAACGACTATATATATATAATCCAGCAATTCCATCCCTAGGTATATATTCCACCCAAAAGTTCTGAAAACATTGACTCAAACAGATACTTCCAGGTGAATGTTCACAGCATCATTATTGACAAGAGCCAAAAAAGTGGAACAACTTAAGGATTCATTAACAGATGATTTTTTTTTCAAATGTGGTACATACAATGGAATATTATTCACCCATAAAAAGAATGAAATTCTGATACATGCTTCAACATGAATGAACCTTAAAAACATTATGCCAAGTGAAATAAGCTAGATACCAAAGGATAGATACTGTATGATTCTACTTAAGTGAAGTATCTAGAACAGGCAAACTGGAATAGTAAAAACATTTTGGTCAGTAAACTAGAGTGGAAGTCAAAAGAACTTAATCCAAACTGGCAAATGACCTCAGAAAGAAAGGCAGAAAGAAAAAAAATAACAAATTAAAAAAGCAAAAAAGAAAAACACCTTAGAAAAATTCAGAACCTGTCAGTATCAGCCCAGACCCTTATAAAAGGTTTTCGTGTTGGTCACTCAGCCCCAATACACCTCATTAGGCAGTTTACTCAAAAGAGTCTTAAATGAATTAATTATAAGGGAAACACCTCTGGAGAGCATGGGGTTTTACCTTTTCTCTTTCCTGTTCCTGCCACACTCCTCCATGTTCCACCTCAATAAATTGGTCCTGTGACAAGATTGCAGTGGAACCCAAAGCCCTGCCTGAACCCACTATAAGAAGTTATTACCCGGTGACCAGCCCACAGCTTCTCAGGGGCAGACAGAAACTTTCCCTAAGGACATCTGGAGCCATGAAGGAAAACAGCCCTGCTGGACCGGCACTGTGCTAAAAAAGCACAGCCAAATGGAAAAGCAAAGGCTTGGGAGCTAAAAATAGATGCTATACTCACCCAGCAGCAAAAGCCTTTGCTTTCTGCCAGTTTCTCCCCTCTTTTTTTGTAGACAAAATGGAACGGCTGAGTGCCACATGAGCTTTCCCCAGCAACCTGGCTCCTTGGGGCACCAATCACACTGAAAGACACGGACTCAGTACATAGCACAGCACTAGGTTCTGGACAGGTGCTTGGCCATGTCTGGGTGTGCAAAGGAGTGGGAGTGCAAGGCTCGGTGAGGATGAACATGGGACAGAAGCTGCCACATCAAGAATGAGAAGTCGGGCTTCCCTGGTGGCGCAGTGGTTGAGAGTCCGCCTGCCAATGCAGGGGGCACGGGTTCGTGCCCCGGTCTGGGAAGATCCTACATGCCACGGAGCGCCTGGGCCCATGAGCCATGGCCGCTGGGCCTTCGTGTCCAGAGCCTGTGCTCCACAACGGGAGAGGCCACAACAGTGAGAGGCCCGCGTACAGCAGAAAAAAAAAAAAAAGAATGAGAAGTCAAGAAAGGCCCAGGGAGCCATCTCATCCCAAGAGGACACAGCCCTAGAGCTTCCCATAATGTCCCATACCTTTTTTATTCTTGCATCCTTGGCTGTGGGGAAAAGGAGAACAAAAAATAGAATTAGGGGACTCACAGCATTATCAGGACAACATACATTAAGAGAGAAAAGGATTATCCAAAAGAGAAAAGGATTATCCAAAAGCCACAGACTTCCCTTCCCCTACATGAGACCGTTCATGTGTATATGCATATACACACACAGAGAGAGCTAGACGCTTCCTTCTTACAGCCAGGGATAAACACCGGGAACTGATGCTGGGGTGTGGGGGGGAAATGAGAAGGAACAGATAAATGAGAATGAAATCAAGGGCAAAGACAACAAATGAGCAGGAGGAGGAGGCCTAGAAGGAACTGAGGAAGAAGGGGTTGGGGGCAGCTGATGCACTAACAGCATACCCACCTCCTGGAGTGGGATGGCAGGCCAGGTGAGAGAAATGGCAGCTCCCACAGGGCTCCTTGCCACCTCCATCACCTGCACACACACTAATGCCCTCAGAAGCATTTTCTGACAATACTAAGGATGACAGGTCGATTCGCAAATGGATCCTTCATCTCCCCCACCCCCAATAATTCCATGTGGACTGCACATCTGACCTATTCATTGGCTCCATGTATTTTCCCATGAATCAGAGATAGAGAGAGAACATGGTGGTGGGAGCAGTGCCTGGGGAGAGGCCTAGGAGCAGTGAGGCTGGGAGAAAGGTGTGAGACAGTTTCCCAGGCATTGCAAGGGTACCCAGAGAACAAGTGCAAACTCTGCAGCACGCAGGCATGGGTAATGCTGTCCTCTGTCCTCATAAGGCCTGGCCTGTAACTATGTCACCTGGGCTTTGTCCTTATTCAAGAAGTGGCGATGGAGAGCAAGCAGGCACGTTTTCCCTTGGGCTTTACACTGAAGCTGGGGGGAAGGGAGAAAGAGGGAAAGGAGAAGTGGCCCACAGTTTGGTTCTGCCAGGATGGTCCACCATCACAAGCAGGGACATAGGCAGCAGCAGCAGCCTATGTCAGACCCTGACATAAGTAAAGCCAAAGTCATGGAATCCCACTGAGGCATAGTTTGGCACTTGGCCTGAGGTTAGTGCCCTCCCCAAATTACTTGCCACCCACTAACCCTGAGTTCACCTGATCACCTGCTCCTGTACACCCTGGATAACAAACCTTCCCATCATCCTGGGCTCTCAAAAGAAGACAGAACTACATCTTTTCATTTATGGCCTTCTTCTGACTTACAATACCATCACTCAGTCCAGGAAAGGGGAATACATTTCAGTGTTCCACCAGTAACTCTTTCCTTAAGTATCCTTGGGCTTTGAGACAACATAGATAATAAGGTACTTGAGATGCCCATTTTTCTATCGAAACTGGCCACGTGTAGTCTGTACTTCTACTTAAATAGAGGTTGGATGCTCTCAGCAATCTGTATTGCCAGCCTGGAGCAGATGCTTGGGGCACAGGTGGGAGAAGGCCCTTGGACTCACTAGCCCTTGCCTCCCTGGTGCCTTATATTCTCCTCTCAATTCAGACAGGACTCTAGGAGGGGACTGGGTCATATGTAAATAAGATATCTTCCTGTAACTTTTATCTTCTTTTAAGGCAGGAACTCAAAAGAATGGCATGAGGATGGCAGGAAGCCAACAGAGGAAGGAGGAGTGGAACTGCTGGACCTCCTAAAGCTTCTGACATGCTGGTAGGTCCCATGGACAGTGGCTGCTCTCCAGTCTCAGGGCCAGAGCACAGGGGGAACAGGTAAACATCACAAGTGTTCTGGGCAGGGAGACCCACCTCAGCAGCCTGACTGGGAACGCTTGGAACTCCTATCTTATAAAATGCTCATGTTCTTAACCTACAGTGTATATCCATGTATTTGTTTCCCCAAATCTTTTGGAAAAAGGCAAAGGGAAAGAATTTCTACTTCCATCTTATAAGAAGGAAATTAAAGAAAAGAGATTTAAAACATTGGGTTGAAAGTACAGTACATGAATTTAGATTCAGACACATCTAAGGCCAAGTCTTCGCTCTGCCAATTTCTAGCTATGTGATCTTGGACACACACTTCGCTAGGCCTCAGTTTCTTCATCTATAAAATGGGCATAATAAGAGCTCCTACTTCAAAGAGTATTAGGGAGGATTAAATAAAACAATGAGTGGAAAGTACACGGTACAGCACCTGGCACCTAGTTATCACACCATCATTAGACCGGGGATGAGGACTTCCCCCTGGACTCACAGGCAGTCAGAGCCAGGCCAGGTACCCTAGAAACACTCTCCAGAGCTCCCTGACTCCTGCAGGATCTGCATACCCTCTAGCTGACCCCACATCTCAAATTTTAGGACCAAAGCCTTTTGCTGGTTATCTGCTTTCAGGAGGTGAAGGAAACAGATGTTAGAGGAGGACCCCCACAGCTAAAAATGGAGAGACTCCAGCCAGTTTTCTGCTGAGCACCGAGGCAGACCCAGCCCATTCAGTGCTTTTCCCAGCATATTAGTGTCCAGAGAGCCAGGTCACCATCGTGTAGAACTTCCACTTGCAGAAAGAGCTATAAGACAGTCTTCTGCTTTACAAACTGACAGTTAGAGGATGAACTCTTCCCACAAACACATTCATTACTATTTATGTGCTACACAAACTCATACACACACACACACACACACACACACACGCACGCACACACACAGAGTCACTCACCTCTACACAAATAGAAGCTCACTGCCTAATTTGGGCAGACAAATATGAATCTGAAAAAACAATGCAAAGAGAACACTGACAGGATAGTCCTGACAAGGAAAAACAATGTGCAAAGGCTTAGGAAGAGAAATGGATTTTTAAAGAATACTTTGAAGGACAAGAGAAGTAAGTTTGAAGAGGTCAGGCAAACAGGCTTTTTCCCCCATAAGACATAAACAAAGTCAGGAGGTAGACAGCAATTAAATAAAAAGAGGCTTTGAACCGCAAAAGAAATGTGGCTTCTAACCCCAGTCTAGCCCTAACTGGCTGGGAGGCTGGACCTGGAACATCCTTAAGCCACTGACCATTTGTGTAATGGCAACAGTGTGTGCCCCAAATACTGAAGTCATGCCTAAGGCCATGCAAATGGGGACTGCTCTCAACAAACCCAAGGCACCCTAAAAGGAAAGTGATGAGGTGAGGCTACTGGAGGGTAAAAAGTTCACAGTGGATCCAAGCCTCTGCCTGACCAGGCCTAAATCCGCTTGTACAGCCTGCAAGGGAGAGCCCAAGTGAGGCCTTTCCAGTGGCAACACAGAGACAGGTGCTGGCCCTGCCAGAGAGCACATGGAGCCAAGAAGGTCTCCACAGGCCCAGCTGGGACTGGAGCTCTGGAAGGAAGGCAACACAGGATGGGATGAAATAGGAAGTGGGCATTCCTGACCCCTCCTTAATACTCTACTCCAAAATGTGGGGGACATGGCCAATCCCATCCCTACCCCAGAAGAGAAGAGAACAGATCTTCAAGAAGGTAGCTAAGTCACTACTAAATATAAAATAGATAACCAACAAGGACCTACTGTATAGCACAGGGAAATACACTCAATATCTTGTAATAACCTATAATGGAAAGGAATCTGAAGAAGAATAGATAGATATGTATAACTGAATCACTCTGCTGTACATTTGAAACTAATACAACATTGTAAATCAACTGTATTTCAATTAAAAAAATTTTTTTAAAAGGTAGCTAAGCATGTTAACAAAAAGCTGCAATCTTGGAGACAAAAGACAGTGCTCCCTCTAAAAGAAATCAGGTGACAAGTAGAGTGACTGAATAAACGGGAGCCCAGCCTGGCCCTCTCCAGACCTATCCTATTCAGCTCCAGCCTTCAAAGAATCTGAATGCTAGAAGGCAGCTTAAGACTTAGTCTTCATTTGGACTGCTAACAATCCAAAAGACACGGCAGGCACTTGATACCTACACACAGAAAAAACAGTTCAATGCCTTCAGGTATGGGCTTGTCACTGCATCCAGGAAGGCTCTGGCAACTTCATGCCTGTTGAAGACAAAGAGGTAGAGAGGACTAGGGCAGAAGAAGAATTTTGGTGCCATCACCCAGAGGTGACAACCAAAGCAATAACAGATTTCCTGTATTACAGAGAAAACTTAAAGAGAAAGGAACAATGGGCCAAGAAGAGTTTTCAAACCATGACTGTACGTTAGGAAAAGAAAGAGGATGGGACTTCCCTGGTGGTTCAGTGGTTGAGAATCCGTCTTGCAATGCAGCAGATGCTGGTTCAATCCCTGGTGGGGGAACTAAGATGCCATATGCTGCAGGGCAACTGAGCCTGCATGCCACAACTACAGAGCCCAGGTGCTCTGAAGCCCACATGCCACAACTAGAGAACCTGCGCACTACAACTAATGAGCCTGTGTGCCACAACTAAGACCCAACGCAGCCAATAAATAAATAAATAATTTTTTTAAAAAAGAAAGAAAGAAAGAGGAGCAATCCAGGGACCAAGATGAAGAACATTAAGAATAGTGCAGAATTACACAGGTCAAGAGAGGAGGGAATCCTGAGAAAATCAAGTTGTGGGTTCAACAAAATCAAGAGGTGAGTCAGAACGAGGATGAGAAAAGCCACTGGATTTGGTAACAAGGAAGCTGGAGGGCCCTTCAAAAGAGGGCACACTTGTGAAGAAATAGAGGCACAAGGGTAGAACACCTGGAAAAGTTGAGTAGGTCCACTGAAGTTTGGAGATTTGGGGCCACTTCTCTAAATCCAATTTTTTCAACCTTTCCCCTAGAGTCATAATGATAACTGAGAAAATACTGACCCTGGTGGTCATATAGAGAGATTCTCCGATGCCATATGGTAGGTTCCCTTGATGGAGTAGAGCTACCCCTCAACACACACATCCTCAGGATAGTGATGGACACAGTCACATCAGTAGAGAAAGGAGGCAAGGAGACAAAGTCTCCAAGAACAAACTCCCATCAGACACACAACTCCACCTTCTCTGAGCTCTCAGCCATGTCTCAGACCGCTCTGAAGCTTTAGTCCTTACACTCTGTAGA